GAACATCGTAAAAACTTTACTTCAAAAACGTTTTGAAAGAGTGGGTTTTAAGGTCTAAAATATTTTGATCAAGATTGTTTTGGTCCAAAAAGGGATATGAAGTTGAGATTTGACTCTCTCCTTGCCGAAGAAACTGAACCTTTCCCTTGCACATCTTTCTCCACCACGTAAACCATCAGTCGCGTCCTAGTCTTAAGGGTGGTAAAAAATGGGGTGTCTACAAGGGGGTAACTGAGGACGGTGATGCTCTGGCCGAGGATAGACTTCGGTCCGGTTCCGGCAGTAAGGACTTCATTTTTGACTCCCATCTCTAAATCTCTTTGATCTGTTTTATTCTGACAGTGAGGACTCCCTTTCAACCCTTGTTTCCTTGTTGATCTCTTGTATTCCAGCACACAGAGAGAGAGAGGAATAGGGAAGATGAATATAGTAATAGGGGTTTAGGGTTCAGTAGCCGACAAGGGTTGGGCTTTGACAAGGAAGCACGGGAATGGGCTCAATGGGGAGAGAGAGAGAAATAGAGTGTTCAAAATTTGAAAACAGAAAAAAATGAGAGGAAGTATGTGTGAGAGATAGGGTGTGTGTTGAAAAAGATGAGAGTGAGATGTTTTCAGCCCTTAAATTGAATTAATCTAATGGTTCAAATTTTGACAAAGGGACAAAAGTTCCATTCGGATTCAAAATCTGAGCTTCCTTGTTATGTAGATAACTATTTTGGCCCTAATCGATAATGCCAAATGAAGCCACCTTCACACATCAGTAGCCTTTGGTGAATTGTTTATTTTTATTATTTTTAACAAATCTTAAAATTTCCTTGGTAGTGGAATTCAAAGAAGGTGGGGAACTGAGGGCCTTGTTTGAAATAAGTTTTTAGCCGAAAAAAGAAAAATAAAATAAAATTAGGAAGTGATTACGAGTTGTTAAGATTTTATTTTTATTTTTATTATAAATATTAGTAAAAATTCATAAAAAAATCATCTCAAATGAGCATTTTATATGATGCATTTTGAAGCTTCTTTAAGTCATGTTTGGATCATCCAATCTAATAAAAAAAAGGACAAATTACAAATACACCTCTTGAAATTTACTTAAAATATAATAATATGTCTCTGTTATTTTGAAAATTACATCCCGCCCTTCAGATTTCTTTATTTTATAACATATTGTCTCTTTTATTAATAAATTATCAAGTCACTTAACAGTTTTTAATGATATTAGAAAATTGAAAAAGATTATGGTACATACTCTTTACCATATGCACCTTCTCTATATAAGAAACAATGCTGCTGTGTAGCTCGAAATTCATTTGGCCCGAATGGCTTGACTACAAAAAATGACGTCATTTTGGGTAGTTTTTTTTTTTTTTTTCTAAAACAGAGAGGCGAGAGGAAGAGAGATGAGGGAGGAATAGAGAAGAAAGAGAGAGGAAGTATATTTCAACACCCACAATTTCAAGCAATCAATGAACAAACCCAGAAAATTTCAAGTTTCAACACAACCCATGAAGCAAAAATGGTCAATGAATCTGTGTATACACAGATCCTCACAAAGTATACCCAAAAGCCGACAAACCCTCACATAGTGCAATCAATCTGCGTATACACATAGCTATATATATGTATATATAAGAGAGAGCCACCCACCGGTGCCGATCACCGTCTCCTTTGTGTGTATACACACACAGATCTGTCTTAGATTTGTTCTTCTTCCTCCTTCTCTCATTTTCTCTTTCTTCTCATTCTTCTCTCATTCTCCTTCTTTTCTCCTCATTTTCTGCTTTTTCTTCTGTTTGTTTCACGAACAAAATAAAGGCGAAAAAGGAAAAAAAAAAAAAGGCCCAAAACTACGTTGTTTTGGGCAGTAGAACCATTCGAGCCAAATGCAATTCGAGCTACAAGACATAATTCTATAAGAAAATTACATGACTCCATACTTTATGAGTTATAACTAAAATAAAATAAAAAGTTATAACCAAACACAAAAAAATCATATCCAAATATCTTAAAATAATATTATAACTGTAGAAGAAAATTGATAATAACTAAAGAATAAAATGACGTAATTAATGATACATATGATATAGGGTGTGAGTCCCCTAACTTTTATAAACCTTATTAGGTCCCTAAATTTTGAGTTATTATAATAAAGCCCTTAATTCGTTGATTGTTCGCAAATTAAACCCTAGAACCGAAAACGCATCACGGACGAACCCATACAAACCCTAATCAACCCTGGAAGTTTAGAAATCATTTCTAACACTCTAATATTAATTATTTAACTCTTAAATTTTAGATTAATCTCTCTAAACCTTAACTTTCGGTTTTCATAGTCTTCGTTCGGTTATTTACCTTTAAATTCAAAGCAAGATAATACAAACCAAATTTTTTTTCCTAACACTAATTTATTAACTTTACACTTGAAATAGATACTTTAATAGAGCCCAAGCCCTCACATTTTTATTAAATCACAAATTGACCCCAAACAAGTACCATTATATATTTATATATACACTTATATTCTAAAATCTTTTTTTAATATTATATTTTACAATTTCCAAGATTTGTACCAAAAAAAAAAAATATAAAACAAGTCCATCAATTTACCATCACATGGCTAGCCATCATACCTCCTAGGCTATAATCATTGTACTTTAGTTCAAACAAATCCCTTGAAATCTTGGAGCAATAATGATTTTGGTACCTATAAAGATTTGCTATATATATGAGTGTACTTCTAACTAGAAGGTATTTAAATTAACCCTAACCCTAACTAGATCATAATTAAATACATAATTAAGGTTCTAATCCTCCCTCATTCCATTACATTTAAACTAAATCAAGGCACTATTCAATTGAATTGGAACCAATGGGCATTTGGGACTTTTCACACCAAATTCTCTATAAATACCACTCATCCCCATTTGTTGAGCACATATACACACCCACATTATATTCAAGTGAGAGAAGAGAGGGAGGAGGGTCAGCTTGGTGGAAGATAGGAGAAGAAGTTTGCTAGCAACAACTCAAGTAAGCCATAAGACAACTCTCTCTTTTATTTTCATTTTTCAAATCCATGCTCTTAGAAGTTTTAAACATTCATTTCAAATGTGTTTTGATAGTATTCCCATGTTAAAAATGAAAGAAGTTGAGCCTTGATTTTACAATTCTTGTATTTCTCTTAATCAGTATAAGACTACCTTTTTTCATACCAAACTCTCAAAATTTCCAAGGGTACACCTTCATCTTAAATTTCTGAGTTTAATACATATTATTTAGCAAGTTTTCATCACATGAAAAGTGGAAAATTTTCCCTAGTTGACCTATTTTCTCATCAAATTTCTATTTTCAAGAACTGTGCCAGAAAAATATATTTTTCATCCAACTTTCAAAATTTCTAGAAAAATGTATAAAAATCTTCTGGATCTCCATTTTATGTAAAAATATTCCTTAAGGAGTTATCTTTCAACTAAAATTGGTTTCATTGAAAATGAGTGAGCGGTTTGTGAGAAAATCTGATTTTCGTAACGATCGACGAATCTGGACAGCGATGGAACATTTCTTAAATAACTAAAAATCTAGAAAAGTTATCACATTTCCAAAACATGTTCTGAAAACTAGATTAAATTCTCAAAGAACCATAGGAAGCTGAGTTTGAGAAAAAAATCTGAAGTATCCCTTTTGATTTTAATCTTTAAATGGTACTGAATCTAGAAATTTAGTTTTGCATGGGTGTTTTATGCTCTTGTGTACATGGATATGCTTATTTGTACATAATCATGTTTTGGTATGATATTGCATGTGTTATGGTTATATTCCTTATCTTCTTCATTTTGATGATGCTCATGCTTATGTAGATATTACTATCTTGTTGAGTTTTTGGAAGGATAAGGTTGGATTCCGAAGATAAAACCTTTTTCTTTTCGCTGTCCCTTTTGAGGCCCTATGGTTGACGCTACGCGGTATATAACCGTTGGTAGGTATTCGAGGTAAGTTCTGCAACAAAGTAGCAAAAGGGGAAGTTCTGAATAGTCCGGTGTCCAATTCTCGTGGTTGGGTGGCTGAAATCTCTTTGGGGATTTCTAGAATACTAACCACTAACATTATAACCTTTGTTATTTATTTGAATGATATGCTCTTTTCCTCTATTATTGGACTTGCCATTATTGACTTGAATATCATGCTTCACTATTTGTTTGCTATAAATATGATGGTGTATTTGGATTGGCACAAAAAGACGGGGTGTGTGTGCATTTACTGGACATTCAAAACTCACGACGTTTCATGCTAGATATTGAAGACTATTAGGCTGGTCAAAGGCAAAACTGAAGCATTTGAGGACGTAGTACAGCTACCCTAGGAGGATTAGAAACTAGTTTGTAAACGTGTTTTGAGATTATAAGTGATAGATCTTATGCTGTATTTAAGACATGATTTGTAATTTGTAACCTATCCTTATACCCCGTCAACTCATGTAGGCCTTATATTAATACCTTGTCAAGATCTGTCAAAAAGGTAGCTTTGCTATCTAAGGTGATTAGATTTTGATAAGAGACTATTTTGACTCCTCTGACCTTCTTGGGATTTTACTGAGTTATTATCTAAAGGACTTATTAGTGACGTTTCCTACTCTTGTAACCTTAGATAAACCCTGTATTTATTGGTTAATATAATATTTGATATTCCCGATTTTTGGGGCGTCACATAGGGTGTGTATAATAAAATTCTCCTAGTAATTTATTTTAATTAATAATTTAAATAATTTCATCATTGTATAAGAGATCAATTAAAAATTTTACTTTTTAAATTAATTTTGTTAAATAAAATATTATAATAAGAAAGTATTTGTATGAACAATTTATATTTTAAACAAATATATTTATAATTTAACCTTTAAAAAAAATAATAAAATAAAATTAAAAAAAATTAAAAAAAAAAGTAAAAAAAAAGAGTCATGTCCCGATCACGAATTTAATTAAAAATTTGTAACAAAAAATTAATTTAAAAAAAAAAATCATATAATTTGTTTTGCCCTTTTCCTTTTTCCAACTCCTCAGCAAATCGCTACCCAAACTGTGTATCGAACTCTCACACTCGTCATCGACTTTGTTCGAAAACTTGTAAAGAATCACAAGCCCATAACCACAGAACTCGAAGATGGTACTCTCTCTCTCTCTCTCTCTCTCTCTCTCTCTCTTAATTACCTCCGATTTTCATTCGTGCATTTTAATCTATTCGCATTTCGTTAGGGTTTGAGTAATTTCAGTTTCACTTATCTAAAGATCTGTACTTGTAAACTTTTGATCTGAGATTTAATAATAATTGCTCATATGTAACATTTCATTGAAAATTTGTAACTTCTGTTTGTTTTCATTTCTGTTTGGATGCCAAGAAAATGCAAAAAGTGCAAAGACATTAGAACTTCAGATCAAATGTTGAATTGAATCTGGCTTTGTATGTCGCTTATGTTGTGGTTATCATGTTATCATTTTGTTTTATTAGTTATTCTCAGCAACCAAGCAAGGGTTGGTGTAAATTGTAATTTAGGTCGTCTTTATAATTTGGTGTTGTGTTGATGGAGTTGGATGTTAAAATGTTCACAGGGATGTGCAGTAGTGTAGTTTGTGAAATTAGTGTACATATAACTCTAATCCAAGTAGGGAAATATTACCCAGTTTTCCTGTGCTTTGAGTCAGTAGTTTGGATGGAAATTTGTGAGAGCACAATTTTTTATGAGAATGAATTAATTTAGTGGGGATCTCAAACTAGAATTATGGGCATGCCCTCTTGTCTTAGAAAGTTTTATTCCTATGGCTCTGGTCACTGCGCTGTTGTGAAGGATAGTTCGCCTTATGGCCACCTTAAATTACGAGTGAATTGAAAGTGATCTTATGATTTCATTTTGGAAATATAAATCCATAATTACCCTAATAGGTGGGTCTCATAGTGCAGGTGGCTCTAACCGGGTTGGGTTAATAAAGAGTTTGAAAATAAATTTTGAACTGCTTAAACATAATTGCTAAAATAAATACTAATCAGACACCAATAAACAGCCTTACATTGCCAATTTAACTTCATTCTAAGATATTAATCTGTAAACACCTTTGGAAATCCAATGGTTATAATATAAATCCCATTTGCTCTTAAAAGCCTACTAGAATCAGCTGGGGCCTTGTGCCGTCTTTGCAATTTTTTGGGTTCTATGGATGGAGCGAAATCAGAGGTTGTTTGAAGAGAAGTTTCGGGAGGTGGGCTGTTTGTGGGATCATGTTTGTCACTTATCTTCTTTTTGGGCGTCAGGGAACTCATTATTTAAGGAAGTTTCACTTTTTTTGTTAGCTAGAGATTGGGTGGCAGTGTGTGCTGTGTAGACTTTTGCTTGTGTTTAGCTTGTTTCGGGTTATTTGTGTGTTTGTATTCTCATTGTCCTATTGTAAGAGGATGCCTTATCCTCTTTTCCTTTTTTTATTTTATCAATAAAACTTTTGTTGTTGATCAAAAAAAAAAAAAAAAAGAATCAGCTGGGGCCTTTAATTTAACCATAATAGCCTACCAGAGACTGGTATCTTTGATGGAAGACTACAAAAATACATTGATAATAGTAGTGTTTGGAAGGAGTTTGAAAGGCCTTGATAGGATATGGGAGGAAATTGTGTGATGCAAGGTAGACATAATGGAACTTCTGGTAAGCAATTGGCCTAATTGAACTTTGGACAATGATATATGATGTATCATGTATGACGTTTAGAATAATAGGACTTGGAGTAGCAGTCAGAAGCGCAATAACAGTCTAAATACAACTTATTGGTGACCTTTCCTCATATCTAAGCTTTTTGGCCTGAAGTCTTTCTTTAGCCTGAATATAGTAGCTGGTTGGTGATTTTGATTCAACATTTTTTTTTATAAACAAAATTTTATTAACAAAAATGTATCTTAAAGTGGTCTAATCCTATACACTCAAAAGTCAAGGCTTGTAAGCTACAAATCCATCGGCATGTTCAAATCACCTATAGATTACACATAAAAATTTAAAAAAAGAAAAAGAAAAAAAGGACAATCCTTTTGAAGCACCAAAAAGAGAGAGAGAGAGCAGTTTGCATGCCTTCTTCTCTAACCTCTTTGTGCAACAAATGATTCCTTTCTGTGATATCAGAACCATTGTTTGTGATTAATTCAAAACGTAATGATCATTGTTATAGCATCATTTTATTAATCAAAATGGAGTATTGGAATTTCTTGAATTGTAAAAGACCCAACCATGGTTTGGAAGCCATGGCCATACAACTTTGTGAAAAAAAAGAAGGTGGTGATTTTAGACCAAGCCAAAGCATCGTGATCACCTTGATTGATCTCTAAATCCTAATGTAGACCAAAGAATGCTTCCATAGATTGGACTGCCCAATCCTCCAAAGCTCTCTGAAACCGGGGATTTCATACTGTACAACCCTCAGACACCTCTAAGTAATTCTCTACAAATGCATTGGTGTCGATTGCTAACAGCAAAAAAACTGGGAAAATCTCCCTAAGAGGTCAATGACCACACCATGGTTCAAGTCAAAATCTCACTCCTCTCATATTACCCACCTTAAAGAAGATTCTTAGCTCTCTGAAACTGGGGATTTCATACCGTACAACTCTCAGACACATCTAAGTAATTCTCTACAGATGCATTGGTGTCGATTGCTAACAGCAAAAAAACTGGGAAAATCTCCGTAAGAGGTCAATGACCACACCATGGTTCAAGTCAAAACCTCACTCTTCTCATATTACCCACCTTAAAGAAGATTCTTTGGTTGAGCATCAATCAACAGGGAGAGCATTCTAAGCAACAATTATGCAGCCTTTCTGATCTATAGAATTAAAGTACATCTGTGACTGATTCCTGTAGATTGTGTTTGCATCCCCATGTCAAAGTTGCCCATATAATGGTGTTATTGACTCTGATGAAACTGTCATGTCTTGAAATTTTATTTATTTGCAAGAACAGAGGTGACTGTATTTGAACACCAGGGTGAACGGATGGTATTGCAGAAGCAAACATGCCCCCGCTTTCTCTTTTTCTCCCAACATACACAGATGTGTTACACTTATTAGAAAAGTTGTTCAAGTGGAAATATTGTATAGCAAAAGACCAAGAAATATTCGCGTGAACATCGTGCTTCACTACAACAGCTTCCCTGTGGAACTCCATTAATTGGTTCCTGGCTCTGGATTTTGCTGCTCTAGTATTGTTTTGAACAGTGTTTCTCTTACAAATTGCTAGATGTTAAGTGGGTGTGACAAGTTGCAAAAAGTACTTCCTTTATCTGATTTAGTTGAACTTGTGACACTGATCTGAGGTTTGCCAATTTGAGTGAGAATGAACTCTCCCTCTAGCCTATCTTTTTTTTGTAAGTGGCTGCATATTCTGTGTTGTACAGTGATGTGTATCAATTTTCTTGTTAACATTGTACTCGGCAGTCAGTACTAACTTACTATTATGTTTGCAGGATGGTCATGATACAGATGATCCGAAACAGAGCACTGCTGATATGACAGTATTTGTGAGTTCCGTAACCATAACAAAATGCATAAGTATATGTTTCTTGTCAATTTTTTCTTGGAATTAATGAAACAGTTATTGAGAATCTGAGATAGCTCCATATGTCTATAAATGGCGGTAATGAAGGCCTGCATTCTTGGTAGGTTAGGAGTTCAAAGATCCCCTGTTCTAGTAGTTATGGGCCTCTAGAGGTACCAATATTAATTGAGCTCATTTCAGATCAGCCTGAAGTTCACTCATGACCAGGCTTGATAATATTCCTATCTTTTTTTATAAGTGGCTGCATATTCTGTGTTGTACAGTGATGTGTATCAATTTTCTTGTTAACATTGTACTCGGTAGTCAGTACTAACTTACTATTATGTTTGCAGGATGGTCATGATACAGATGATCCGAAACAGAGCACTGCTGATATGACAGTATTTGTGAGTTCCGTAACCATAACAAAATGCATAAGTACATGTTTCTTGTCAATTTTTTCTTGGAATTAATGAAAGAGTTATTGAGAATCTGAGATAGCTCCATATGTCTATAAATGGCGGTAATGAAGGCCTGCATTCTTGGTAGGTTAGGAGTTCAAAGATCCCCTGTTCTAGTAGTTATGGGCCTCTAGAGGAACCAATATTAATTGAGCTCATTTCAGATCAGCCTGAGGTTCACTCATGACCAGGCTTGATAATATTTTGAGACTCATATAAACAAGGGAAGAAAGTTGTAAAACCACATTCTCTTCCTTATATTTTACAATAAGGATGGATCGTATCTTCTTCCTTTGAAATTGTATGCCCTTTGATTTAAGTAAATAAGCCACCGTATTTACTGAAATTTTCGTATTTGTTTTTCAGGTGCAAAATCTTCTGCAGCAAATGGTGAGTCTTTTACTTCTCAATTTTTTAGGGTTTTATATAAATACAACACCACTGTTCAAATAATTTAATTTCTTTGCTTTTACTCTTGAATTTTGCAGCAATCTAGGTTTCAGACGATGTCTGACTCCATCATTTCAAAGAATATCCTTTTCATTTTCTCCACATTAATTGCATTTTACCGGTGAACAGTATACCTATGTTTCAGGGAAGTAAAACCATTCCTTTGGTGTTTTGGCATTTCTGTGCATTTAATATTGGTTATACTTTTTATAGCATTTCAATTGAATTGCTTTCCAAGATTTTGATAAGATTAGCCCATCCTGTATTGAGGTTCTTGTTAAAAAAAGAAAGATATAAAAGACATCACTTCATGTTTTTACTATGACAAATGGAGGACTAGTTTTCTTGCAATGACTGGAGGATTGGGTTGTTTGCCATGAAAGAAATTGCAATTTCTTTTCCATGATAAGATAGTAAATTACTTTCCTTCTCACATTTCTCTCTCTCTCTCTCTCTCGGGAAGAGGGTAGAGGGGAGCATCTTTGTTTTGCAATTTCCTTTCTGAACAACAGATTTATGTTGCCAAATGCAATAGAAAACAAACTCGTAACAGGTATCTCTCTATGAGGTGTTAAACTGTTTATGTGGTACTGAATTTTGAGATTAATAAAGTTATTGTTTCTTTAACTATGATGCACTTGATGAGATGGGCAGTCGGATAGATGAGTTGGAGCAGAGCATCAATGATTTGAGGGCCGAGATGGGGCAAGAGGGGACTCCTTCTCCTTCCACTTCTCTGAAGCCAAAAGAAGACCCCAAGGCAGCTGATGATTCGGCATAAGATTTTTCACAGCATGCTGTGTTGGTTTCACTAGGTATGTTTGTCCTGGAAAATTCGTTTGCTTGCGACTTTTGAAGTATTTGAACTGAAAACCATTGTTCTACTTTGAGATCATATGAATATTGTTGAGGTCTGTAACTGAGGTATCTTTTGGTGCCTAATTTCTAAGAATTATAGAAGTAGAACTTGTGAGGTGTGATGATCATTTGTCTGATTTTGGTCTCAAACAAATTTATTAGATCATATGAATATCTTTCATTTTAGTCTCATAAACTGTAGACTGAAGTTGCACTCTGTTTGATTTCACTTATTTCTTGCATATTTAGCTTAAAATTTAAACAAAAATGCTTCGTAGCTCGAGATTCCTAAGGCTCGAGTGGCCCGAAGTTTCAAACTGATGTCGTTTTGAAACTTTTGTCTTTTTTTTTTCCTTCTATAAAACTGATTTGAGAACAAGCGAGAGAAAGAGAGGAGGAAGAAAGTAGAAGAAAAAAAAGAGAGGGGGAATAGAGGAGGAAAATTTGTGCTGGGTTTTGTTGCTTTCTGTGAAAAATCTTGCTTCATATATCTGGATCTGGGTTGGAGGTAAATAATTTGATGATTTGTAGCTTCAGTGTTCATGGGCATTCTTTGGAAAAGAGGATGACCCCACCTTCCATGGAAGCTACTCTGTAAGTGTTAGCATCAAATTGAACATTGGGGTTTGTTAGTCATCTCTGTTAGTCAAAACCACAAACACTTGGAGTGCAAAAGGTTGAAACTTAACTCAAAATCATTTGAATTTCTCAGCAATTCAAGTTTTTAGAACAGAGAATTGAAAACCCATACAATGAAGCTGAAAGAAAATGTCAAAAAATTAAATACAATCAAGTCAAAGAAACCAGGGATAAGGCAAAATCATTATAATCAAAGTAAAAATTTCCAATTTTTGAAAATTAAAAGAGACATTTCATTGAGGACTAGTAGCCATTGACGAGTGATCTTGAGGAAGATGAAGCTTTGAGAGTGTCATAAAGATTTCAATTGAAGAATGAGGGAGGGAAGTGAAGCTTTGTGTGATGGTGGTGGCTTTGGAAATTCCTTGTTTTTGAGTTTGGGAACAAAGAGGAGTGAATGATGGCGTGAAGCAAAAGAGAACAAAGAAGAGAAAGAGAGAGAGAGAGAGAGAGTCCAAAGCAAAGGAAGGAGGGAGGTGGACGAAGAAGAGAGATTGAGCATAGTAAAAACTTGATTAGAAAAGTAAATTCGGGCCACTCGAGTCATAAGGTTTCGAGCTACGTAGGGGGATTGAAATTTAAAATCATATATTTCATAGTCTAACTTCAAAAAGGTAGGATTGTTAGTTACATTTTTCATATTTTCAGCTTAAAAGCTCTAAGTAAGCTCAAAATGCTAAGGTGTCGTTTAGTAACATTTACGTTTTCAGTTTTCTGTTTATATTTACAAAAATTTAAAAAATTCAAATAAAAACTTGTTTGGTAAATTTTTAATTTATAAATCATTGATCTCAGTTTATAAATTTGGCCAAAAAGTGTAAACTCAAAAAATGTGTTTCCATTTTGAATTTTGAGTTTTTTTTTTTTTTTTACCACCCAACACTAGCCACCACCCGCTACCCATTTTCCACCACCGTCTTCCCCCCCCACCACCACCACCCACTTGCCGCCACCACCACCACCAACTCGCTACCACCCACTACCCGCTACCGTCACCCACCTACCCAGCACCACCACCACCTACTACCACCCGTCCTGCCACCACCACCGTCACCACTTTCCACGACCGTCTTCCGCCGCCACTTGTCATTTTTCACTCTTTTTTATATTTTTAAATTTTTTTATACATTTTGTCAATTACCGAACGCGTTTGTAGTTTATGTTTTTCTAAAAATAAACAAAAACCAGTTTATAAGATTTTTGTAAATATAAACTGAAAACATAAACGTTACCAAATGTAATTTACTTATAATTTACTTGCAATTTACTAAGTAATTTACTGAGATTTTGCTGGGAATTTACTAAGTAATTTACTGAGAATTTACTGAAAATTTGTCACGAACCCATTCCGCCCTTTGTAGAATGGTGCCATGATGGCCAGTAATCCAAGATTTACCGAAGGCCAACTTTCTAAATTCACACACAATCAGAGTATTACATATTTTTTTTTTTTTTTTTTTTTTTGACATTTCATACATTAGTGCTATTAGTGATTTTTTTTAGTGATATTAATCATTGTTGATATTAACACCTCAAGCACATACAACTTGTTTGGTTTTGAAATTCAAAATTCACATTTTAGAAAATTAAAATTTTCTATTTTTCATATTTTTTTATTGAATATACATAGCTAAAATAATAATTAAAAATATAATATTTGTGAAAAAAAAAAAAAAAAATTCGTTAATACAAAAATATATTTAAAAATTCAATATTTTTTTATATTTTGTGTATTTATTAATTTTTTAAAATATTTTTTTATAAATTTTTACTTTTTAGATAATCTAAATAAAATGCATCTAAAAAAGTACAAAATTACTTAAAATTTTAAAAATATTTATTAAAATAAAAAAATACAAAAAAATTAAATTAAATTCAAAAAATTAAACCAATCCACTGCGCCCTTCCATGTTCTACTTGTACCATCACAAACAACAAATGAAAAAAATACACCACATCAGCTGAGTCAGAAACAAACGTACTCCTTTACATAAAATATTTATTTGGTCAAAGATGTTCGGTGTAGTTTGTGAAAGTGTTTTTATTTTGATTTTGAAAGCTTGTTTGGTAAAACTAAAAAAAAGTTGACTTGGTTTTAAAAGAACTAAAATCCAAGTTTAAAAAAAGTTAGGGCATTTGATAACGTTTATGTTTTAGTTTATATTTATAAAAAATTTATAAATTATTTTTGTTTATTTTTAGAAAAACATAAATTACAAACGCGTTTGGAATTGAAAAATGTTTAAAAAATTTTAAAAAATATAAAAAAGAGTGAGAAATGACAAGTGGCGGCGGAAGATGGTGGTGGAAAGTGGTGCGATGGGTGGTGGGGTAGCGGGTGGTGGTGGATAGGTTGGTAACAGTGGCGGTGGTGGGTGGTGGTGGGTGGCGGATGGGCGGGCGGGCGGGTGGTGGTGGCGGGTGCAGGTGGCGGGTGGTGGTGGTGTGGGTGGGTGGGTGGGTGGGGGTGTGGTGGGTGGTGAGGGCAGGCGGGTGGCGGGTAGGTGGCGGGTGGTGATGGTGGGTGGATGGGTGATGGTGCGGGTGGTAGCGATGGGTGATGGTGGTAGTGGTGGCGGGTGGTGGCGGGGTGGTGGTAGTAGGTGTGGTGGTGGGTGGCGGATGGTGGCAAGTGGTGGGGTGGCGAGTGGGTGGCAGTGGCTGGTGTGCGAGTGGTGGATAGGTGGTGAGATGGGTGGTAAGTGTGTGCGATAGTGGGCGGGCGATGGATGGTAGTGGCGGATGGATGGCAGGTGAGTGGGGCGGCGCGGCGGCGACGGCGACGAGGGGTGGGTGGTGGTAGGTGGTGTGTGTATGTGGTGGTGAGTGGTGTGGCAGGTGTGGTGGGGGGTGGTAGTGGGTGGTGGTGGCGAAGACGGTCGTGGAAAATGGTGAGCGGTGGTGCTAGTGTTGGGTGGTAAAAAAAAAAAAATCAAAACTCAAAATCGAAAACAACATTTTTTGAGTTTACCTTTTTGGCCAAATTTATAAACTGAGATCAATGATTTATAAATTAAAAATTTACCAAACAAGTTTTTATTTGAATTTTTTAAATTTTTGTAAATATAAACAGAAAATTGAAAACGTAAATGTTACAAACGACACCTTAGCATTTTAGCTTCTTAGAGCTTTTAACTGAAAATATGAAAATGTAACTAACATCCTACCTTTTTGAAGTTGGACTATGAAATATATGATTTTTAAATTTCAATCCCCCTACGTACTCGAAACCTTATGCTCGAGTGCCCGAATTTACTTTTCTAATCAATTTTTACTTGCTCAATCTTTCTTCTTCGTCCACCTCCCTCCTTCCTTTGCTTGGACTCTCTCTCTCTCTCTCCTCTTCTTTGTTCTCTTTCCCTTCACCCCATCATTCACTCCTCTTTGTTCCCAAACTCAAAAACAAGGAATTTCCAAAGCCACCACCATCACACAAAGCTTCACTCCCTCCCTCATTCTCAATTGAAATCTTTATGACCTCTCAAAGCTTCATCTTCCTCAAGATCACTCGTCAATGGCTACTAGTCCTCAATGAAATGTCTCTTTTAATTTTCAAAAATTGGAAATTTTTACTTTGATTATAATGATTTGCTTATCCCTGGTTTCTTTGACTTGATTGTATTTAATTTTTTGACATTTTCTTTCAGCTTCATTGTATGGGTTTTCAATTCTCTGTTCTAAAAACTTGAATTGCTGAGAAATTCAAATGATTTTGAGTTAAGTTTCAACCTTTTGCACTCCAAGTGTTTGTGGTTTTGACTAACAGAGATGACTAACAAACCCCAATGTTCAATTTGATGCTAACACTTACAGAGTAGCTTCCATGGAAGGTGGGTCATCCTCTTTTCCAAAGAATGCCCATGAACACTGAAGCTACAAATCATCAAATTATTTACCTCCAACCCAATCCAGATATATGAAGCAAGATTTTTCACAGAAACAACAAAACCCAGCACAAATTTCCTCCTCTATTCCCCTCTCTTTTTTTTTCTTCACTTTCTTCCTCCTCTCTTTCTCTCGCCTTTGTCAAATCAGTTTTAAGAAGGAAAAAAAAAAGAAAAAAAAGTTTCAAAACGACATCGTTTTGAAACTTCGGGCCACTCGAGCCTTAGGAATCTCGAGCTACGAAGCATTTTGTTTAAATTTTAAGCTAAATATGCAAGAAATAAGTGAAACAAACAGAGTGCAACTTCAGTCTACGTTTATGAGACTAAAATGAAAGATATTCATATGATCTAATAAATTTGTTTGAGACCAAAATCAGACAAAATGATCATCACACCTCACAAGTCCTACTTCTATAATTCTTAGAAATTAGGCACCAAAAGATACCTCAGTTACAGACCTCAACAATATTCATATTGATCTCAAAGTAGAACAATGGTTTTCAGTTCAAATACTTCAAAAGTCGCAAGCAAACGAATTTTCCAGGACAAACATACCTAGTGAAACCAACACAGCATGCTGTGAAAAATCTTATGCCGAATCATCAGCTGCCTTGGGGTCTTCTTTTGGCTTCAGAGAAGTGGAAGGAGAAGGAGTCCCCTCTTGCCCCATCTCGGCCCTCAAATCATTGATGCTCTGCTCCAACTCATCTATCCGACTGCCCATCTCATCAAGTGCATCAGTATAAAGAAACAATAACTTTATTAATCTCAAAATTCAGTACCACATAAACAGTTTAACACCTCATAGAGAGATACCTGTTACGAGTTTGTTTTCTATTGCATTTGGCAACATAAATCTGTTGTTCAGAAAGGAAATTGCAAAACAAAGATGCTCCCCTCTACCCTCTTCCCGAGAGAGAGAGAGAGAGAGAGAATGTGAGAGGAAAGTAATTTACTATCTTATCATGGAAAAGAAGGCAATTTCTTTATGGCAAACAACCCAATCCTCCAGTCATTGCAAGAAAACTAGTCCCTCATTTGTCATAGTAAAAACATGAAGTGATGTCTTTTATATCTTTCTTTTTTAACAAGAAGACCTCAATACAGGATGGGCTAATCTTATCAAAATCTTGGAAAGCAATTCAATGGAAATGCTATAAAAGTATAACCAATATTAAAATGCACAGAAATGCCAAAACACCAAAGGAATGGTTTTACTTCCTGAAACATAGGTATACTGTTCACCGTTAAAATGCAATTAATGTGGAGAAAATGAAAAGGATATCTTTGAAATGATGGAGTCAGACATCGTCTGAACAGATTGCTGCAAAATTCAAGAGTAAAAGCAAAGAATTAAATTATTTGAACAGTGGTGTTGTATTTATATAAAACCCTAAAAAATTGAGAAGTAAAAGACTCACCATTTGCTGCAGAAGATTTTGCACCTAAAAAACAAATACGAAAATTTCAGTAAATACGGTGGCTATTTACTTAAATCAAAGGGCATACAATTTCAAAGGAAGAAGATACCATCCATCTTATTGTAAAATATAAGGAAGAGAATTTGGTTT